AGTTTTGCTTTAGCACTGAATCCAGAACAAGTAATAATAATAACAACATTTTAAAATAAATAATGTTTCTATAGTCTATCTGTAGCCGGCTGGCCAGCTCTAATACATATTTGATATGATCTTGTGGGCCAAATATAATTATATTGCGGGCCAAATCTGGCCCTTGGGCCTGAGTATTAGTTTGTCCATCAAACTAGATCTCCAATCTCCAGACCAATCTCCAGAGCTCAAAATGCTCTGTTCTCCCTTGTGGTGTCCTGAAGCGATAGGTTTCAAGTTAATAGCTGCTTCTACTTTTTAGTCAGTAGAGACAATTCCAGAGCTGAAATTATTGAAATTATTCTAGTGAAGGTATGGAGTTTAAAAACACAGCAGAGCACTTCCTGAAAAGAACTCAGCCTAAATATACAGGGTTTGTGTGTTAAACGTGTGTGAATAAAACAAAACACAACTGCAGGTATGTTTTTGATGAGGAAACAACATAGATCAGAAAACAGTGTAATATGGGCCCTTTAATGCATAATCCATGTTGATTATGTAGTGACCGACACCTTTTGTCATTCATTGCCAAATAAAGTACTGAAATGTCTGCAGTTACCCAAACTGGGAAAACGCAGCCCAATGAGCTGTAATAGCCACTGCTGCAAACGACTTCTATCAGCTTGCCACATGCTGTCCTGGTTTAGCCTCAACTAGTCTGTCTGTCTACTGCTTTTTTGCACAATATAAATGAGACTGCAGGGAGAGGCATTCAATTGAGAATTAGTAAGCTACTGTTTGAATGATATCTTTATAAGTCGATTAAAGGCCAACGCATATTGACTTTTCATTAATAAACATTTGAGGTGCAGATTAACTTGTCTCAGGTCTCCACAATGGCTCCACGGGTGTGTTGTAAACGGCCTCCATGCTGGGGGCTCTTTGAACAGCGTGCCTCTGCCTCAAGAGCCACAGAGACAGAAAAGTCCTGCAGACAGAGCGATGTACACAGTGGTAGACAGTGAAAGTAGATATTATGAGCGAGATAGAACCAGATCAAAAGAGACTCAGTGGGCGAGGGCACAATAAGCTGCCTGGAGAGAGGAGAGAGAGACGCTAAAGCAACAGCTCAAACCAATCAAAAAGCAAAAGCAGGAAGGACAGGAAGCAATAACAGCCTCTCTACCTGAAAGATCTCTGTTTCCGCTGTCCTTGGTGTTGACTGCGCTGACGAGTGGAGAGTGTTAGCAGGTAGTAAGCTCACAGTTGTATAAGGAGGTTACACTAGCTATTCAATTTCAATTTCAAAGTTCTTTTTTCTTGCAGTGTACTCTTGATTTAATAGGCATGTTAGATGAAGTATAAGCTCATTAATGGCTATTTCATACTTCTATTTTTTTTGTCAAGTTCTTTTGTAATACACCTTCTGGAGAAAAACTATAATCTACTCATTTATAACAAGAAAAAGTTGGGTTTTGTACATTTTTAATGGAGGATCTTCCATTTGCTTGTCTCCTTGTGGATGTGGATGTGTGTAATTATGTTTCACAGTATGAAAAAACTAATCTATTATGCACTTATTTAATTTAAGGTGTTTCCATTGCTCTAAAATACATTAAAAAAACAAGTATTCTTACTGTGAGTGGGCTCGCCTCCCCATAGACCTGACCTGTACCTTGGCCTGGTGGCATCAACTGCATGTCTCCATGAAGATACTTACCTTTAATGTCATACTGAGGAACATGTCAGGTGAAACAAGAATATATCCATGAAGATATATTGGCTCTATTCATTCTAAGGCTTAGGCCAAAAGTGAAATTATCTGGACATAGTAGCTCACACATTACATTATATTACAATAACAGAGCAAAAAATTTAAATGGTAATAATAAATTCTAAATAAGGAATAAAAATAACAAGAGACTGTGTCAAATAAGGCATAATTATATAAATGTAAATGTGTAAGTAAAAATAAAATGAAATATAGTAATACAAATATATTACTCAGCTATATTTAAGAGGTGGGTAGGAGAAACAGTACTAAGATAAAATAGTGAAGGTCATCTATGATGTAAGGGTGAGTTGTTGTACAGTTGTATGGAGTATGGTATAAATGTAGTCCTGTATCTTCATTTTACTATTCTAGGTAAGTGTATTCATCATTATCACATTCATTCATGATAAAGTGTTTATAACCAGACAGTAACCAACCTGTATCTTAGCCCTCAGCCAGTTCAGTCTTTGTCAGTGTATTCTTTGCAATAACATGCCATATTCACTTAATCCGCAATTACTCATTAAAATGCATTGTGCATTGGGTTGCTGGTTACAGGTGTCTCCAATGTGTAAATACGAAAAAGACACGGTGTTCTATGTAAATGAGTGAATGCACTGAACGTTGGCCTGTCCTTGACACCCATTCCCTGTTTCTGTGCCTCCCTAAACACGGCCATAATGAGACAAGTGGATTAGGAGCCAGTGAGAGGCTTACATTGTTAGCATGAATGAACACATAGACACACTGGATTAGGCTCTGTCCAAAGTGTCTGGATAAAAGCTACAAGATAAAAACAAAATCAAGGACATCATCTGTTAACCAACCATCTCAACAAAACTGTGTCGGAGGCAGGGAGGCATCAGTTGATATTTCTGTTCACAAGTTAACAGACAAGTCACCGTATTATTACATGTCAAAAAACAATACTGCCAAGTAGAAAAGACTAATTAGTTTTAACTGGAATGTGCCATTATGTTGAGATAAAGCCTCTAGTGCTTGTGTCTGTTTCTACTGACCTAGTGTTATGTACCTTTGCAGGTGGAGGGTATGCCACCTGCTTGCATGGAAATGTACTGCTTTGCCTGGAATGTTCCACAGTATGACATTAAAAACATCTATCTTACATTTATTCATTTACAGGTGTTTATATTTCTATAAAACTGTGGAAAAAATGCAACTTCACTTTGGGAACACCTCTCCAATGATCTGACTTTGGAGGTGGATTGGTTTATTCCCATACTGTGTAACATTCGAGAACTAGCAGGTGATGCACCCTTCATCAGAAAATGTACATGTATTCACCTTTAAGGAAAATGTGTCACTGTTTTAAATATCAAATCTCTCCATGCAACATATTTTGCTTCTTCAGTGTGCTCACACCCATGACGTACTTTATTGAACATGTGTAAGATTTGTTTGGATGGTAACACTCACTCTACTCTCTCTCTCTCTCTCTCTCTCTCTCTCTCTCTCTCTCTCTCTGTCTCTCTCTCTCTCTCTCTCTCTGTCTCTCTCTCTCTCTCTCTCTCTCTCTCTCTCTCTCTCTCTCTCTCTCTCTCTCTCTCTCTCTCTCTCTCTCTCTCTCTCTCTCTCTCTCTCTCTCTATATATATATATATATATATATATATATATATATATATATATATATATATTAATTATTTCTTTATTTAATAGGGACAGTGCATATTAATGAACATCTAAACATTGCAGTGTAAATATGCCAGATTATAGCAGGACTTCTAATTTCCATCTGTAGTCCCTCGGCAGGGAACACCACAAATTTAAACAAAGCAAAAAAAAGTAACAAATCTATACTAAAAGTGTCCACAAGTCTGGTTTTTCTTTAGCCACTCTTTTAAGCAGGACTTGAAGGTGGCAAGAGTTGAAGTTTCTCTTATTGATAGTGACAGACTGTTCCAAAATGTTGTGCCTCTGACTGAGACACACATTGTCCGAATGTGGTGCGTCTGTGTGGAGCTCACAGTTCCCCCGAGCTGTGGCCCTAGTTCCCATCCCACTCTGTCTTTACTTTAGTAAAATCCTGTAATGGAGGAGGGGCAAGTCCATGCAAAACTTTATAGACAAAACATCCATATTTAAAACCAATAAAATGATTAAAATTAAGCAAATTATACTTGTCTAAAATAGTGCAGTGGTGAAATGAGAATGGTTTCTTGTCCAATATTTTTATGGCTTTTTAAAAAGTGATTCGATGGGTTTGAGTGTTGTTCCAGCAGCGAGTGACCATGTGGTTATGCAGTCGTCTATATGGGACAGAATCATGGAGTGTAAAAACATTCGTGCCGCATATAAAGTCATAAAAGGTCTTATTTGTCTAAAATTCACTAAGTTAAAATTAACAGTTTTTGTAAGGCGCTTAATGTGTTTCTTAAATGTCAATATACACTCTTATTTGGTGTACCCACTATTCCCTCCAGAAAGTGCGCTGTCCAGTGTCTATTATTATCTAAGAGTCAACAGTCTAGTGAGAAAGAGACACAATTTTCAATGTGAATGCATAATCACATCCTCTCTCTATCTACTAGTATAAACAGATTAAAGGTCCTATATAACACTAAATTGACTCTTGTGCACTTTAAGTCAAGTTATAATGTTCTTACCTCAGGAGTTGTGTTCTGTTACATTCACATGTTTGAGTAATGCTTTGCTCTGTTCCACCTTGTGATGTCATGTAGCTTTGAAGTTAACAGCTACTTTTTGCCTTTTGCCGTTTTGTTTCGTAGAGATTGGCAGTTTTAGGTCTGAAATCATCCAAATGATTCTAGTGTAAGTGTATGGAGTTTTCAGACATATTGGAGCACTTCCTGTATTGCCACATGACATCACAAGGTGGAGCAGAGTGTTTTCCATTTGAGAAAAGAACACAATAATAAATATGCAGGATTTGTGTGTGAATGTGAATGTGTGAATGAAACAAAACACCACTCCAGGTATGTTTTACAGCTCTTTGATATTTATTTCTGAGGTGACTTCTCAGTACAACTGGACTAAATAAGGCTTATTAGTAGCATTATATGTTGTTGAATCAAATTTGACACAGCACTTGCACTTTGATGATTAATAATGAACGGCTCTTTTTGTTAAAACATTTCCTTTCCACTTCAATGTTCTATCTTTCTGTACTCACTGTTTTCAAAAACATTTTAGTACACCTTCAGCTAGGAATAATGCACATACTTACAATGCCTCACCATGTATTCTGTTTTTGTATCTCTTGACAGAAAGTTTCCCAGTACACCATCATCGTCCAGGCCACAGACATGGAGGGGAACTTGAACTTTGGTTTGTCAAACACAGCGACAGCTCTCATCTCTATCACAGACATCAATGATAACCCCCCAGAGCTAACCGCCAGAACTGTGAGTATTTTGTACCAAACACTTTAGTCGGGTTAGAATATTGTGCATGTGCAGAAAATATATTTTATACATTTGAACCGTAACAGTTGATTCCTAAACTATATCTTGCAAAAGACAATGGGTATAAAGAATAGATGATTTAGCAGAAATTTTTTACCGTATTAAAATTCTGAAATAAGAAGAGGTACATGGCTAAAATGTTTAAAAGTTTGTAAATTAGTACTTAAGTAAAAGTATAAAATACACATGAAAATACTACTTAAGTATCAGTATGAGTAAGTAAGTATTAGTTACTAGTTACTTTTTGAATTAAGTTGATCTAAACTGGAATCTTCAGATAGCTAATTACAATTTAGGCTGGGCTAGATTTAAGTACATGTAGTATTTGTTATTAGTTGCTTTCCACCACTTAAATATATTAGGAGTATTGTCTGGTATGGATGATGTTACCATGGCAGTAAAGCAACCTTTTCTACAAAGAAGTGGTTACATCGCTCTCAATATTCTGTACTCCAAGTCTTTTCATGTTACGTACAATAGGCTGTGTAAGGTGTTTGAGTGAGAGTTTTCAGATAATGTAAAACAAGCTGTTAAAGACAACAATAGCCAGCAAAAAGTGAAACGAAGTGGAAGGTGAGTAGAAATATGATGCGTACTTCTATAGATAAGCAAGAAAATACACTTTGAATGAGAATGAGAGGTGTAGAGGTGTTTGGGACAGTGCCACGGCTCCATAGGGGTCCGGCAGGGTGCAGCTGGCCCACTTTCCATCGCACGGCATGTGTGTCTGGAATCTCAAAGTGCAGTCTTTTATGTGGGATGTTATTGGGAACTGCTTTGAAAGGGGCCCTCTCCTTTATGTCCTGGAGTGTGAGTAGCAAGCGGTCCGTATGATGTAATTTGATGGGCAGCCATGTCTTCTTTCTCCAGGCCAAGTACAGTAGGGCAGCTCAAAGACTAGACTTTGGAGTAGATACAGTGTTTTGGGATAATGCTGGGAATAGCTTTGATTTGTTTTTTTTGTTTTTTGTTTTTTTACATTCTCGTCGTAATCTCACCAAATTTACCTGAGAATAATTTAGAGCATGCTACTTTAAATACTCTTTTTACTTAAAGGGATAGTTTGGGATTTTTGACATAAATCTGTATGTCATCCCCGTGAGCAGTGTCGTGCATCAACACTGACTAACCCCGACAGCATCCGGTGAGTCGAGATACTGACTGTTTTCGGTGCTGAAGAAAGTAGTCCGGCAAGTTGGCTGGGGACTGTATAATTAGGGGTGTCAAATTATCGCGTTAATTGCGATTAATTAATTACAGTCATATTTAGCGCGTTATGTTTTTTAATCACGTTAATCTCATTTTTAATCTCTAACTTTACTGTTTCTGTATGTGAGTTGCTTTATTGTAAAACCTGTTTTTATGTGTTGTTGGGACAACAACACACACACACACACAAACAAAAAACACATTTATACATTTTTTTATTTCGGCAATTCCACTCATTGTCGGAAACCCACACAAAACACGCGCAGTAAGAGCGACGTTTACGGCGTCAGTCACACAATGGACGAGGTCGAAGAGCCAGTAGAACAGAGGCAGCAGTGCACAGGTAAAAACGCATTCGTGTCTTGGAAATTATTCTCCCGACGTGAAATATAAAAGAAAATAACAAATATAATATCGCCTACAACTTAAATGTCACTGGTGAAAACAACCTGCATAGACTCATGATGTCTGCACTACTGTCCTATAGTGACCTGCCACATGAGGGGACACGCACACAAACACACACAAACACAAACACACACAAACACACACCTTCATCATCGTCATTAACCTGAGAACGCGCGACCACGTTTCCTTTCGTAGACACTGAGCGGACACCGACGAGCTCCCGTGAGCCGCGTGTGGATCGTGTTTTCTCGCGTACGCGGCGTAAACCGCGCTTCCTCCTGTGAGCCTCTAAACCAGAACTAACACAAAGACTAAAACCAGGACTAATTCAGTCCAGGACTAAACCAGGACTAAACCAGGTCTAAACCAGGACTAAACCAGGACTAAACCAGAACTAAAACCAGAACTAAAACCAGGACTAAACCAGAACTAACACCAGGACTAAAACCAGGATTAATCCATTCCAGGACTAAAGTAGGACTAAAGCAGGTCTAAACCAGGACTAAAACCAGGACTAAAACCAGTGATCTCATATATAAAGCATTTCTCTATCAATAATATTTTTAATATGGTTAAGGAAAGACTGGACTTTTTATTGTCTTTAAGTAGACAAAAGTTATTATGTTCAGATTTCCTCGTCTTTGCTACTTTACAGCAAACAGTTTCTTATTCATGGAGACTTGGGCTCAACAGCCAATTTGGAGAGATTTGTTAAACAATAAATGACTTTATAAAGTCACTTTTTTTGTTCTATATCAGTCTTTTGATCTGCCACAAATAATGTAATAATTAATTAATCTCTCAATTTTTTTTATCGCATGACAGCACTATGTATAATAAAGTGTTTTTTTCTTCTCAAAACAACATGTGTTCAAAAGGGTGATACATTTGCATCACAAAACCATCAATGCCTAAAAAGTCACACCTCATTATTGCTTGGCACTATTTTCTTTCCATTTGTATCACTGCGCGCTGCCGCCAGGTGACAGCCGTGAACAAATCCATCACTTTGTTCAGTTGTTTAACAGTGTTTACATGTGCAGACCACCGCCACGCGAGAGAACTAACATGAGAGCTAGAGCCATAAAATATATAAGCTTATATAAGATACATAAGAATATATCTAAAAAATGGTGTGAACTCTTGATTCTCCAGGCTGCAACAACAAAAGTCTGGCTGAATCTCCACACACATGTCAATGTTTTCCTGTCATGGACTTTGCGCTGAGGAAACTTTGGCTTCTTGACTTAAGCTTCAACGTGGAAACCAAACCAGGTAAGAACGAAGAAGTGCAGCTGTGTTTACAAGAGAACAGACTCAAGAATCAGCTGTAACTCTGTGTGCAGTAAATCACTCAGTGTCATATCACCAGTGAAGCTTCTACAAAACCTAACTTTATAAGTCGACTGTTATTACTATTGTAAATGTCTCTTACACTGTTGGCAGCAGCTACGTGGACGTGTGGATGATTCCATGTTTCTATTAGTCGTCCATGCTTCAGTCACAGTGGAGGCTCTATGTTCACTGTGTACGAGTTTCTAAATGACGTGATGGTGATTGTCGCTCACTTGGTCAACTTGTACCACTTCTCTGTCTCTCTTCTCTCTCTGCTCGTTCTAACTCCATCTGGTGAATTTCAGCATCAGTATATTCAGGTTCATAAAGATCTCCCCTTGGCTTTGTGGTACAGGCAAAGTCTTTATTGTCGGTGTCGTAATCAGACATGTTGTCGCTAACATTCTGAGCAGAAAAAACACAGTGAACCAGGCTCGGCTGTCACCTGGCGGCAGCGCGCAGTGATACGAACGGAAAGAAAATAGTGCCAAGCGATTATGAGGTCTGACTTTTTAGGCATTGATGGTTTTGTGATGCAAATGTATCACTCTTTTGAACACAGATTGTTTTGAGAAGAAAAATGCTTTATTATACAGTCCCCAGCCAACTTGCCGGACTACTTTCGTCAGCACCGAAAACTGTCAGTATCTGGGCTCACCGGACGCTGTCGGGGTTAGTCAGTGTTGATGCACGACACTGCTCACGGGGATGACATACAGATTTATGTCAAAAATCCCAAACTATCCCTTTAAAGGTGAGATCACCCCCACACTTGGCACTGGCTAATGTGTTGATTAAACATGTGACACATTTGAGAAAATAGACTTCAAGCAGAGTGTTTTGGAAAATAGCTACTTAATTGTAATGGATGTAGTGGAAAACAAGTTTGTTAAGGATGAATTCATTTAACAACTTGTGCCTTGATAGTGTAAAGGCAGCTTGCAAATCTTGTATGAGTTTGAGTCCTGTCTCTGATCATTTGCTGTCTCCCTGCTCTGCCCTTGTATGCTTGTGGCCCTTTTCATTTAAAACACATAAAGTCAGATTAAATGGCATAATGGCAGGGAGCATGGTAAACATACTGAATTCAACTGAAACAATGCAAAGGAATTATGCCATACAATTCTGAAGAGGGTTTGCCTGCTGTCATAGAAAATAGTATATAATAGTTAGTGATGGGCGAACGGAGCCTCGTGAAGCATTGACACCTCAGTCGCAATATTGTCTCAAATGGTTCGAGAGAAACACTGACCTCTAGTGGACAAATTTAACCATTGGCACGATGCAGGTGTCTATGAAGTATTGTTAGTGTAAGACAGTAGTTGTGTGCAGAACATAGACCGTACCTAACAACAACAACAATAATAATGATGATTTAAAATAATGTGTAAAGAGCAACATAAACAGCTGCTGTAAATAAAAAAGTAGGTGTGACCTTGTTAGGTGGAATTAGATCAAAGTGATCCCAAACCATGGATCGTTTTCCACTTGTAGATGCCATCGAAAATGAAACAAATGCCAAAAGTTGCCAAAAGTCACCAAAATCACCACTAACGTCACACAATACTCGTCACTACCCAACATTTTTAAGAAATATTGGTGCATCTTTTATACTGTAGCAGTTTAGTGCTTGTCAAACCACGGAAGTGCGCTGAACACTCTGAAGCACTCTGAACCAATCACACAGCGGAACCTTCGCCGAGCCAATGAAACGCTTCGATACACTGATGCGATTGACACGCAGAGTGAAGCAGTAGGGGGAGGGAGCGACACTTCCACACTTTGGTCACGTGATCGTGGTCGCTGCTGCAAGACGAGCTCCGAGGCAGTGCTTCAGAGTGATTTGTTTCAGAAAGAACGAGACGAGCTCCGGAGCTCCGTCTCATTTGCCCATCACTAATAATAGTATGTGTTTTTGATACTTGGTACCAGAAGTATCAATTAAATCAAATATATTCATTCAAAGTGAAGATTTTGTAGAGGCTCACATTTTTGTATACCAACTATTGTAGGGGTTTCCAGAGATGATAAAAACAGAGGATCGAGCAGTTATTTCAACAATTACAGCCATGTTTATCCAAAATGTCTTACGCAAGATCATCATAGTTTCTGGTTAGCCAAAAACCCTAACAGACTGATTAAAAAAAAAATAATAAAATCATATCATATATTTTTTATGATTTTTATTTTTATTTTTTCAAGGCTTCTTACCAGGAACCAAATATAATTCTGAAAAAGTATGCCAGCAGAACTCTCCTCTTCTAGTTTAGCAGTTCCACCTAAAAAACACAGCCAAAAGAATCATGTTTTCAGTTTTTCTACAACATCCATGTTTAAAAAATGCACAGAAAAGACTTTGCTGTTTGTCAATCTCCTCGTTTTTTGTTTTTGCTTCCCACACAACCAAGTCGTCTCTGAGCGGTTCAGTAATTATTTGTGTATGACAGACACGGGGATGCTCTCTATGGGAGGCATTCAGAAAACATAAGCGCGTTAATTAAGTGAAATTGCTTGCGGGGGCGTCAACCAAGCTGATATACTGCTGCTAATTTGAAAAAAGGAGCTGCATGTTTTATTCATCCCCCCACATGGGCCCTAACGAGTAATGTTAGCTCCGTGTTTGTGCTTACGTGATAAACAGAAGGAGACAGGATGCAGTCTAACTCAACAAGAGCGCCTCTGCCGTGTCAGTGGCTTTTCAGTGATTTGTAGGGTTCCAGCTCAAATACAGGCTTCAGCACAGCCCTCTGCACTTACCTGTGGAGCTTCTAAAAGGCCTTCAGAACATGAAATTATCTCCACCACATCCATCACTTTAGATCCTTTTACCTCTCCGTCGATTTATAGTAGCAGCTAACTGGTGCTGCCACAGGTCTTGTGTCTTCATCAGGCCTCCTCTTATCTTCATGGGGCAGGTTGTTTTCAATGCTTCAGTTGGTGCCACACACACAGAAAAATACTGTTTCCCCACATATTGCCTAGATGTCTTATTCATGTGTAAAAACATAAATGATTGCAGTTTAGGATTCTAAGAAGTGTTAGCCTTAATTTGACTTGTTCCACCTGTTGCTTCTGCTAAACCACACAGCAAATGCATAATAATATCCCAGCTTTATTCTAACTGGAAAAGACATTTTAAATATAAGCCTAACATATCTAATCACTGCTGTGTTTTCTTTGGAGTTTTGGATAAATAATGTAGACTAGTAGTGTTACAAATATCTTGTATATTTTGAGTTCTAAACATTTGAAAGGAAAAATCAAAAACTGTCGATTTTGGATCGCCTTTAGGAAGGTTTACTAAGAAAACAGCAGAGGAGCGCCTCAGTTTTGAAGTATAAAACATGAGACTGGGACTGAGTGCCTGCTGCCGATGGCTATAACTTTATTGCATCATAGAGAAGACATAAGAGCAGTGATAAGTGGACTGATGTTAGCGTCACAGCTGTATCCCGGCTCTGCTTAGGGACATGTTCTGCCCAAAATGCTGCCGTCAGAATCTGCTGTTGTGTCTGTGAATCTAATTTAGTTTCATTGAGGTGCACAATGTTCTCATTTGCCTTCAGTAACAAGGTGGTTATGCACATTTCTCCTGCTGTGGTCTTCAGTGTATCCGCGTAACCACTTTAGCACAATGGGTCTGGACTGATGAGAGCTGCACTAGAGTATGAGGGTTTGAATAAACAGTGGCCTAAAGTAACTCTATATGCAGATCTGATGAAGCGAATTCGGTCTCGTATTTAAGCATGCGTGTAATATGTAATTTAATCAAGCTCTATCACAGATATTTTTCATGCTGAATAACAGTTTCTTTAAGGAAGGCCAGAGCAAACAGAAGTTCACAAGTTCCCCTCTCAGTGATATAATAGATGCATTATTTTAGTTTAATGACTTTATATTTTATTTATCACATTTGAATGGTGAAATAACCTGCATTCATGCGTATAATGTAATCTGCTGCCTCCTCCACGCTCCTTGATGGTTTATTTGAGGTTATTTGCATTTCTATAATAATGTCTCATTGCTTTTAAATGGAAATATGATATGATTGAAAGAAAGTTGATGAAGATTGTGATGAAGGGCAAAAAGTGATTTTTTTCTATGTAAGATTTATAAACTGATTTAGAAACAGGCTGCTCTAATTTAAAATACACACAAAAATATATTCATTTCAACCTTTAAAGACTCAAAAGGACCCAAAAGGAAAATATTAGTATTAGTAAGCTTTACTGAGTTATCTTTGGCACTTCCCAGCAGAACATTGTGGTAAAGAGTGTGAAAGATTAGATGACTTATAGGAGAAGTTTTCTCCCCAGGCCTGGACACTGGAAGTGGTAGAGATGAGGGGGTGAGGGAAGGGGATGATGAGAGGGTGATAGGATGAGGGGTGCTGAGGAGGAGGTGGGGCACTGCACTAACTGAAGTGGCCAAACAACTGCTACAGAGGATTTATATTGGGCAAATTGGGCACTGACTGAAAGAGAGGAGGTGTGGAGTAATGGAGTGAAGTGGTGAAGGCTGAGGAGCAGATACAGTCTGGAGAAGTGGTAGACTGAAGCAAGGTTTGTTTGTCCAGGCTGAATTTATGCTACCTCCATGTGTGGAAAATGTGCATCTGGAAAATGTGCACCTCAAAGTAAAGTCTACTAGTATAGATCATATATAGATCATATAAACCAAACTAATGCACATTGTGATGCCTTTTCTCTATTTTTGTTTACAGTTGGTTTGCATTTAGCCATTTGGCAAAACAGACTCCTCCTTACATACTTTCTAACTCCTAACTGCTTTGTAAAGTAAGTCTCTTGAGGCTTATCAATGAGTCCACATTGCGTTTTAGAGAGGCTGTCCATTCACCCTCCCCTTACATCCACAGCCATTGTCTACGCCCCCGGAGACGAGCGTATCCCAGTGTGCCGTCTGACAACAAACATGGAAGGTTTGTGGTGGAAGCCTTGGGGTTTGCAAATGAAATGGAGCGGCCCACACACCAGAGACTATGGGAGAGAGTGCATATTTAATTTGTTCTGTGCTTATCGGGCCTGCTTGTACGGCTGGGGGATGAAAAGAGGGAAGGGATGGGCTGGGCTTTGGATCCCGCTTCAATCCAGCCGTGATGAAGCCATTAAAGAAAGCTGCAGCTGCCAGGAGCATGCCTCATAAACTGGATTATCATCTCAGGCCTGTGTGCACCTTTGAGTGGTCAGTCTGCATGTAGCTCGATACACCCTGCAAAGCCTTATGTATTATGGAGTTTGCTTCTTCACTGGAAACTTGTTTGTCAACCAAGTTAGACTTATATATACAATAAACACAAATCAGTAAACTGTAATGACTGATTTGGTCTCACTTGACTTCAGTAGCACAGTAACAGCTTGGGAATAGTGTAACAGGGATCGCAGTCTCTTTCATACTGGGTTAAAGTTACACAAAATTTTCTATAATATATCTATAAAAGTAAAATGTGTCCTGATTCCTTAAGTAATTATCATGTGATTACACTTTTAGTTTACATGCTACTTCCTTTCTACTGCCATGGTATTATGCTGGAAAGCAATACTGGTAGATAGAGACATGTACATCTGATAAAAGTTACTGCTGTGTGCTGGGTCTAAAGAAAAAAAAAAAAGAAAGAAAGAAAGGAAGAAAACAGATCTGCACTGCAGTTCTTTGGCGTTCCCAAATTTTATGTTAATAACAACACAATGTGACGTTTTGGCATCAAGCCCTTGTCCTAGGCTTTGGTAGTGGTGGTTTTGAAGAGAAAGTGAGAGGAGGAGAAGAGGTTGCACGATGCAAAGGAGGTTGTGGCATGTATCTGAAACAACAGGATGGGTTTGTGTGGTGATTGGTTAATGGTACCTGACAGAGACAGGCAGGTGCCATGAGAGTTGGATGAGGAAATACAGTTAAATTTATATACAGTTTCATTTCCGCAGCAACTTAATGAAGTTCATTAGGCAAAGATTGTTGCTAATGCTGCCTTAATTAACAGTACTTATCTAATTGCATATTAAATCCCAGATTTGAGGAATGAACAGAATTCAAATTAAATGGGTAAACACTTAATTGAACAAATCCATTAGTTGAGTTTCGTATGAACAGGCATGCACTAGGGACTACATTAACATAATGGAAGATGCAATTCTCTAATTTACAAAATACATCTCTCTGTGACTCCCTTTCCATTTAATGTAATAAGTGCAACCTCAGTGCAGTTTGTTTTAATACGGACAATTATGGAAAATGCCAAATTATCGAATAAGGTTCAACATCTCCATAAATAATTTCATTGGAGGGCATTAGGCCAGTCAAATTACTACATCATTATCACTGGCCAATTCTCACCACACAATGTTTCTTTCCTTATTTGTCATGGTGCAGTTTTCAGGGGAAGTGCCGGAGAACAGGGTGAATGTGGTAGTGACAAACCTGACTGTGCTGGATCGGGATCAGCCCCACAGCCCAAACTGGAACGCTGTTTATCGCATCGTCAGTGGAGACCCAACCGGGCACTTCACCATCCGCACCAACCCTGTCACCAACGAGGGCATGCTCACTGTGGTAAAAGTAAGTAATAGCATCCATAAAATATATTTACCAACTCATCAATGGGCCATATCCATGGGTTTCAGAATGATACAAAATATCAGGATAGTTGCCGTAACAATGAACTCTTTCAACAAAAATACATATTTTTTAAATGGGGAAAAATGTTGGTTATGACATGAACTGAAACCCATTAATTGTGAAAACATTTTATTCATTTATAACTGCTTTACACTTCTTGTAAAGAATTAAAAGAATGAGTTTTGGTAATGAATTTAAATACCTTTTGTCCAGTGTTTGATTATACTGTCCCTTTGATTAAAACATGTTCTAAAACAATTCTTTACGCCACATTTATTATTATATAATTTGCATATTTGACCTTCTAAAATCAAATGCAAAAGCAACATATAGTTAAAGCATTTTTTTTTTAAATTATTATTATTAAACAATTTTTTAGTGCAAACCACATATCGTTATAAAACAACAGTAAAAATGCAATAAAAATAAAATGATATGAAATTAAGTTATAGTGTAGGTACAGTCATACACATTGTCTTCTCATTTACTATTCATAATATTTGCCATAAACTCACACAAAAAAACACCTATATAAAAGATAGACATCCATTTGAAACATTTGGTTTGGGCTTAACACCATTTGTCGGCAATAAATGTTTTCAGTTGTATTCTTGCAGTTATTTGCTCCATATGATCTTTAATTTTACTTTTCCACTGAGTAATTGTCAATTAACAGTAAAATTTTCAAATCATGATAATTTGACGATAGTATAACTTCAACTGACCTTCTTTTCTCTAGCCAGTGGACTTTGAGCTGAACCGTAACTTCGTGCTGACAGTGGTAGTGTCCAACCAGGCCCATCTGGCCACTGGTATCCAGTCTTCACTGCAATCCACTGCAGGAGTGACCATCTCAGTGCAGGACGTGAATGAGCCTCCTGTGTTCCCCGTCAACCCCAAGATGATTCGCTTTGAGGAGGGCGTACCAGCTGGGACCACCCTCACCGTGTTCTCTGCACAGGACCCAGACCACTTTGTCCACCAGGTTGTCAGGTAATGCAATTTATGATTAGATCTATGTACAGTTAACTATAGAGATTTAAAGTTGCACTGTGTAACTTTAGATCTATGTACAATAACTATAGAGATTTAAAGTTGCAATGTGTAACTTTTCGGTAGTGGGTCCATCACCTACTTTTTTCAATGGATATGTTATTGCTTTGGTTGGAATGTTCGATTGTATGACATTAAACAGAACTACCTTAGATTTATTCACTTACAGATAGTTTCATAGCTCAAAATACTTAGTAAAACAGGAATTCTGACTGTGAGCAGGGTTGCTACTCCACAGATCTGACCTGTAACTTGGTCTGGTTTGGTCTCAGTGGAGATAGAAATGCCATACTGTGAAATATTTCAGACAAAGCAATAACTTTTCCATCAGAAAAGTCACACAATGCACCTTTGAGTGTTGTTGTTTTGAAAAGTATCTGAAAAGCCGTGTGTACAGATTTGTTAGAGATGTCAGAGATGTGCTGTAGATGTCAGGATGACTAATGATAGGGGACTGGGTGAGGAGCAAAGGTGGCAGTCCGCGATTGGTTGACAAAGGCAGGTGATACATCTCATTTAAAAAAAAATAAAAAATTCTTACTCTCAAACAACTTATTTTTTGCATCTGAACTCCACGCTCTTTTACTCCAGCATCAGTTTTCCCCATCTGCTCCCATATTGGTTTTTGACTGCTTATGTAAACTCCAAAGGAAACATGCAGTTTTTTGCTGTAAAACCATTTTTAGGCAGTTTTAGCTTTGGGTCTGAAAAAACAGAAAACCATTTGAGAAACCCAACGTGACGCCAACTCCATCAACATCCATGCGATTTCTGCACTGAATGCCCTGCAAAAGCCTGACAAGACTACCTCTACATTGTGAAGCTAGTATGTGTTCATTTGATTCCTTTCAACTTAAAAATGTAAAAATGTCTCAAAATGACTGAAGTATTTTTATGAGCTGCTGAAAAGGATGTCTTGTTTGTGAAAAAAAATTCTGGTGCTTCAAAAACTGCAGCCTTTGTGTTTGCTATATGTGCCCATTCAAATCTGCATTTTGATTTGACTTTAGTTTCAGCCCTGTTTCACTGGCCATCCGGAGTATATACCGTATGTTATCCCCAGTATTTAATCAGAATTTATCCCAACTGCATGGCATTCTCCAGTGACCCTCTCCTCCCACATTTTGCTACATCACCCATCGCTTGGCAACGACCACTGTGAGGCAGGCGTCCCTGTAATAAGTCGAATGCACGATGCCAGGCAGGAGTTGACCCCAAGCGTGACAGAGACTCCCACGTGCCCTCCATGGTCCGTCAGGCTCGTCCCTCTACCAACCCAGCCATATTGATTTTCCTTAATGTCACCGACTGAGGATGCCACTGGAAATGTTAGTGAATTGATAGTGTGTTAAAGGTGGGCTTGTATAGTCTACTGCGGGGTGAGCAATAGCTTTAGCGGAGGTCCTGTCTCCCAAAGCAGTTGTTGGGTCGCTAAAGATTTTTGGAGGTTACTGAGCAATTTGGAAGTAAAAATATCCAGTATGTCTGAAAATGACTCTCTTCACTTTCAGCTCATACCTTTACCATATACATAACACATGTCCTTAGGGAAAATACTGTTTAGTGCTTCTAGGAAAGTTATTAAGTTTAGCTTGTAGTACATATACTGGTATGGGCAGACATCTTTAGGTATTCAGGTCTTTCGGGCTTGTGATGTTCAGTTTAGAAGTACTTTAAGAAGTGTAGTTAGGCTATACTGGTTGGAACTTTTGAACACTTTGAAGTTACTTGCTTCTGGTTTAGTTCAGAATTCAGATTTATGCCCAGTTTATTGGTTTCTGCATCCTGTTATATGCAACATTTTGAGAACTTGTTTTGTTTTAACTTGTTCATAAAATTCAGAAAGTTCATAAATCTGAAACCCTTGGAAACCAGCTTCGGGACACTTAGGATGAATTTGTTGCAAGTTAATGTCAACAGAAGAGTAGTGTGCTATTTCTTGCAGCACCACTAGTTGGGGGTAATGAGCTGAGACTGCGCTCTGTATGAATCACTTATAATCTACCCTCTGATCTTGATTTCTATCATGATGTGATGTAATGCTTCTATAAAAATATCCATGAAAAGAAAACAAGATCTTAGTGCAGTATGTCCCTGTGGCCGTGAGCTGAGTGCCATGCCTCAGACATGGTCACTTTCTTCAATTTTTTAGTAAGTCTGTGTTATTGATCTGAGCTCAGAGCCTTTCAGACAGCTCCGTGCCTGCTTTGGTGACCCCACCTGAACTCTGCGTACGCTCAGACACGCAGCAGCAGCAGCAGCAGAGAGTGGGTAGGCAGCCAGCAACGTTTCCTCTCATTTTTCTCATTTTTTTAATTTATTTTTTGCTGTCTCTGGAGGAAGAGAAGAGAGAGGCAGATCTGAGGGCTAGTCTGTTCGACAGCAAACTTTACTATTAGATGGGATTAAAGCTGTGAATTTATGGAAGTGTTTGGAGAATTCAAAACAGTTCTGTGATGTTGGGTCATGTCTCGTAGCCTTCGTTTTTGCTAAGACCTAAGCAGTACATAAAAGTGAGAGTCTGGGAGGGTAAAATGATACCACTTGATATCGTTATGTAAAGTAGGAGCCCAAATATATTAAGGAAAGGTTCAGTCTATGGCAGATATTGCTGCTAATAAACTCTCTGAACTTTATAGGCTGAAGTAGCAAATAGTTTTCAGTGGCACACATGATGGCAACGTGCATATGTGAGGTCAGGCAGAGTGCTGCAGGAATTTGATACCAGAGTAACAGGGACAGGCTGCCAATCTGTTCACTGTCACTAAATGATAAACTGCCAAAATTGCTCAGATGGCATATATTTATCAAATCAATATATGTAGAGACCTTGGATACCCTTAAAGGAAGTGTAAGATTAATAAATGTATCTAATAAATGTATCTTATGTCTAGTCCCAGATAAAAATCATGTCCAAACCTTTACTGATAAGAACTCTAATTCTGATTAATCCATAATGTCCTATTTATTTACGTTAAAATTAACAGATGATCCAATCCGAAAGGAGGAAGAGCCTTGCACGAGTGTCTTGTGTGAATCTCTCATTTTGTTTGCAAGTTACAAGGATGGAACTTCAGTTGTTTTAAGCCTAATAGGACTCTCTTTGATCTGAATAGTCACTACCTAAACCCTAGCACCCGCATCATTAATCAGTGTTAGTGCAGCCTATGCAGCTCAGTGAGGAAATTCTGGAGGGCATGGCTCTTCCTTATACTGAGAAACCACTTATGGGTACTCAATCTACAGGTTTGGGCACTGGCAACCCAAGTTCAATTATGATTGAAATAACTTTTTTAAAGCAGTAGAGGGCAGGCTACATACATTTTTTTTTAGGATACTGCATTCTTTATTAATATAGCTTTTAGAATTACTACTTCACAATCTATAATTATGATTATATGGTAAATAAAATATGAAAAAGTAATTTACTGTAGCATAAAGAAAACACTGATGTATAAACTTGTGTTTTACAGGTACTCCAAACTGTCCGATCCTGCTAACTGGCTAAGAATCAATCGCACCAATGGTCAGATCACCACTATGGCCATGCTGGACCGCGAGTCTGTGCATGTGAAGAACAACGTGTACGAAGCTACATTTTTGGCGTTCGACAATGGTAAGTCGGGTAAGTCAGTGATCCTGCTGATGTTTTGGTGTTTCCGCTCACATAGCCCCGTTTTATCAGCACATCAGCATTCTCAGCTTGTCTTTGACATCTGATAAGTGTCATTACTTGTGTAATCGTAACTCTAGACAAACATCTGAGTATCTGCAGTTTATTTTACATTACATAAACCCTGTGTACATCTGGGAAGCAAGTTTTGTGTTTGTTGTTGTTCCCGATAGAACAGTATAAGGTTGCAAAACATCAAATAAACTTCCATTATCTGTAGATGCTCCGGAAGAAACATTGGGAATGTCAGGTTAGCCTGTGTTATGGAATGTAGCATAATTTATTGTCATGTCCAAACTTAGTGTAATCAATGTATGATTAACCATTAACAAGACAAGTTTAATTTTGTAGTAAGCAATGTTGGCACAAACCTGGAGTTTAGTTTATGGATGTGGTGGACAGGTTTATTAACCAGTCAGAAAAATGTATGTCAAAAAAAACATGGCGGCGTACAGACATTAAGTACAACCTACTTAATGCTGTTCTGCAATAGGATTAATCACTGTTAAGTAAAGTAAGCATTATAGCTCAAGGTCCTTTTCCTTCAATAATGTGGCTGTGTGTCTGTCAGCAGCACATTAACCTCAGCTGCTCCAATCATGTACAGAGCTAAAGAAGTAAAGTGCCCAAATGGAGGTGCTTACACTCTTGTATAAGTCGACAGGACCCAGGTGTCTTTAGCCTCGGAGAAATGAGGCGAGTGTTGACTACATATTGATTGCAAATCCCACTGTCAACACTGGAACTGGATTGAAATTCTCTTTACTTATTCTACTCAAGCCGAGCGTAAACGAAAGGCAACAAAGCACCCAGCACTATCATAACCGACAAGACGGTCGATGGGCCTTGGGACGTGGGGTTAGCAGAGCTATGTGTGTGCCTGTGTTTGTGTGTGGAAGTTAGTGGGAGATGGGAAAAATAGTTCAGGTGTATAGAGGCAGTGTGAAGTCTATCTCCACTGTACTGCACCAGTAATTTAGTTTATCCTACTGACTCTGACAGCAAGCTGAGGGTGTCAGCTGAATATCAAGGCCGCCATACATCACTACAGCAAAGCAGCATGTACCATTCTATAATAGTTCTGTAGGAGCCAGGTTTCTGGTTTTTAGTTCCTCGCTAGACTATTTAGCATGTTTTAGGATTTATGGGGAGAAGCTCACACTGAATGCCCTCCACAGTCAGTATCAACTCCTTTTTCATTAGTAGGAACAGTGTTAACCCATATGTGACCCTGCAAACACATGTACATGTACAATATGAACAAACTTCATGATGAGTTGTGACTGCAGCGCTCTTATTGAGGTAATTAATTCATTAATTCATTAATTAATTAATTAAGTAAGTAAGTAAGTAATATCACTACAGTTTATGAAGGGAAAGTTCTGGTGCTGAAAAACAATGCTATGCTTTCTGTCATTTCATTTAAATGGGAATTCCTTGTGTCATTCATCTGCAGGAGATGTGGGATGACAATGGCCAAATAAATGCAATAATTGCATTATTATGTAATAAGAATTTTGTCATCCACTGAGCCCACATTCAGCCCTAGACACCACACTAATGTAATGCACGTATTCTTATATCCACATAGACCAAAAGAAACAAACACATTCACTCCCCAAACCCCTGCCAGCATCCAGTCAGTATTTTGAGTCAATTAAAATAGTTTCTGTTTATTTAACCTCAGTCTAGAACTTAGGTTTTTAATTAGTTCCAAAAGTATTTCTGTTGTGCCTTCTTGAGGTGACAAGCTGAAGGGCAGGAAAATATGACAAAGTATTTAAAGCTGCCAAACATCAAACTTTTAGAGTTACAGCTGTGTCAATGATCTGTGCTTTGTTGCACCACTGTCTGTGTTACATTAAGCTAAACAAAATGATGTTAATACCCACTGAGCCTTCAGGATAAAATTGTCTTATCGCTCTTGGATTATAGATAAAGTTTTTTATTTTTATTTTTGTCACATTGATCATTTTAGTTTAAAGCAGTGTAACAAAGACAAATAGTTTACCAATAAAGATGTATTCAAGTTTATGAGAGAACTGCTTGTATTGAATTCAAGAATAACTAAAATGTTTTATTAGTTTATTCTTGTTTATGTATTATGTGTAAAACCTGTTTAAGTACATTTAAGTAAATGCGACTGCAAAAGAGAACACAGGGAAGGTTAAAGGAAACAAGGCCCAGGAAACAGATACATTTTATTTATGTTTTAATCATATATGGGAGTAAAACACCGGCCACATATTACCATCACAAAACGGTAAGGATCCAATCAAATTTAGCAAAACTTTTGCTACAACAGATGCTGCAAATATTTATTAGCATTACTATGAATGATGACCATACAAGATTGTTTTTGCTCTTCTTAAGGTTACACTTTGCAGTGCATACAAACCAGACACCAACATTCTAAATATGACTTGCCTAAAGCTTTCATTTCAATGTCTCCTGTTATGACATACCCATATTTTTCAGTGCAGCCCAGAGCTCAATGCCGTTAATTGCATTTTGTTGCTGCTACTTGAGACAACAAAAGTGGCTGTTGTTTAAAGATGCAGAGGCACTTAGGAAACAATAAACTAGGAAGTGACGGGGAACAAACAGTTTAAAATGCAGTTGTGTTCCAAAGTGTTGCATAATCACAGAACATTAGCTGTTAAAGAATACTGCATTAAACATCCAACATCTCCTATACAAACTCAAGGTAGGCGTATTAGCAGACGAGAGTAGTTTTATCTCTTGCTCGAGTGGGCTTAATAGATAACTGTATGAAAGTGGAGAGTGCAATTAAACACATTTTTTTGGTTGGATCTTTTTAAAATGTCCAATTTCCTGTTTGGCGCAGAGTTCAGACTTTGGAAGAAGAAAATGTGTATATATATATATATATATATATATATATATTTTTTTTTTTTTTTTTTTTTTTTTTTGTTAAACAGCCCTGATTTTAAGTCTGTCTTGTTAATGTTCTGAAAAATACTGAACACCATTTTTAAGTTTTTAATAAGACAAAATAAAATTGTGATAGATCAATAATGGGAATATTTATAGTGTAATATAGTGTAACTGCAGCCTCAGGGGATCAGCAGTGGGCACAATCATCTGTAATACATTCACAATATTTAAACAAATTACAGGATTCAACTGAATTATTCTTGAAACAAGAGTTTTTTAAAAATGTCTTTTCTGCCATTTGAACTCCCCTGAGTTAAAACATGGTAAGATACTAAAACAGAATGTGGCCACAGCACTATCAGTCTTTAGTTTTGGCTCCATTTTTTGCACTAGATTTCTTAGCTCAGGATTACAAGTATGTAGCAGTGCAGCTGGGTTGTGCCCTTAAAACCCACTGCCCTGTTCTGCTGTATGATTTGACCAACTTTGTCAAGAGTTCGCTACCTTAAAGGTGCACTATACTATATAAGTTTTTGGTTGGGGTCTATCACCTGCTTGGATCTATGAATATGATGGATATGTCATTGCTCTGTCTGGAATGTTGCACAGTATGACATTGAACAGCTCTATTTTATCATTATTATTATTATTATTATTATTGCAGGTGGTTTTATAGCTTAAAAAAACATTCTGACAGTGAATGGGTTGCTTTTCTACAGATCTGATCTTTAAATTGGTCTGGTTTGGTTTCCATGGTGATAGAAAGGTTAAATACCATACTGTGAAACATTCTAGACAAAGCAATAACATCTCCACTAAAGCCTTTAACGGACCCTCCAGCAGAAAAGTTAGATAATGAACCTTTAAAGTCATGCATTGAGTTGACTCCGTATGACCCAATCCAACATACAGTATATCAAATGGATAACGCCCCCACTTTATAAATATATTTCAGTTTGCCCTCTATGTGTGTCATTACTGTTAATTCTTATTTTCTTACAAGAGCTTTAATGGCACAGAACACTGACTCATCTTATTTCCTCAGGTTCTCCTCAGGCCAGTGGCACAGGAACCCTTCAGATCTACCTGATAGATGTTAATGACAACCCTCCCGTGCTGCTCCCACCAGAGGCACAGATCTGTGAGCACGGCCGGCCTAACTCCAGGATCAACATTACGGCCTCGGATGCAGACGCAGACCCCAATGTGGGACCTTTTGTGTTCGAACTGCCCACTTTCCCCGCCATTGTGCGCCGCAACTGGACCATCTCCAGACTCAGTGGTGAGTTCAGGCCAAGATATGAACCAGCTCATGGGGGGAGGTCAGAAAGATTTATGAAAAAGAAAACACATTTGACACTTGAAAAGTTTAAAGATCCTGTATTTTTAATTATTGAAATATTCATAGGTATAACTTTCCACTTAAAAATGCCATTATGAGAACTTTTGACTTTTGATACAGTACTTTGTTGTGAATTGTTAATTGTTGTGGAAACTGTCCTATCTTTTAATTACTCTGATACTCACTGATACTTGCAGCTGTCACATTAGTCACAAATACATTTTGTACATTTCATAATTTTATATTTTGTTGTTGAACAGCAGACCAGTATAAGGTGTACACTACAGTGTAGTGTAATGCTTGTCTACAGTGTCTAGTGGTTACAAGCTATTGTACTGTTTAACTTGACTGTGTTGAGAAAAAATGGAAAAAGCTTTGGGCACATAATACTCATTAACATTTTTTGGGGGGGAAAAGTTCACCTCTGACTTCCATTTGATTCAGAAATCCAATTACTTTGATGTAAAGAAAAATGCTGTTGGAGGGAGGAGCTGTTCCCAAGTGAGAAAGCTGTTCACAGATGGGAGACCCCTTTCCTTGAACAACTGCTAGCCCGATTGTGAGCTGTGAGCGAAGTCGAACAAAATGCCTGACAGAGCCCGCGGTGAGAGACACCGCCACTATCCCGGTGTAGATGCACCATCTATGACTTGTGAAAAATGAAACCCATTCATCTGCACTCCCCCCAGCAGCCGCTCTGTCACCTGATCGGCCCAGATGGATGCTTCGCAGCAGCTTTCTTCTTGAGGACAAATCTGATGCCATACCTTGATCCTACTCCCACCGAGCCTCTTGTTCAAGCTTGACTAAATGATTGATGGAGAAGGTTATATTTGTTGTTGTTTTTATCTTAAACGCCTACACTTGTACATATGTGTCAGGATGATTGCTACTTCAAGGATTGCTTACGATTGCTGGTGAACAACGGTATCTTAAATATACAAAGTATAGAAATACACTTTTACATACAGTAATTGCAGCATCCTTTAATACAAACTTTAAGCAGCTGGCACAACCAGTTGTAGAACTGGAGTTGAATCAAGACCATTCTTATTTGTGAGAGGTGAGAAAAGCTTGTTTTTTTACCTGGTTCCAATACAGTTCAAAATACTGCACAAGCTTAAGCTTTACATGTGTTATGCATTTAGTTTAACATACTTTTGAATGAAGTAGCATCTGATTACTGAAATAGCTGTCATCTTTACTTCCAGGGGACTATGCTCAGTTGAAGCTGAAGATCCCATACCTGGAGGCTGGTGTCTATGAGATTCCTGTAATCGTGTCGGACTCGGGGAACCCTCCTCTGTCCAACCGCTCCATGCTCCGGATCAAAGTGTGTCCATGTGACGACAGTGGTGACTGCAGTGCCACTGGAGCTGTGGCAGCAGCAGGGCTCGGGTACAGGAGCCATCATCGCCATCCTCATCTGCATCATCATCCTGCTCAGTGAGTGGACATATTTACAGCACATTTAAGACCAACTAGCTGGATTCACCTTCATATACTTCATCTTGTAAAATTTAATCACCTCAAATTCGTTGATGCAATAGATCATACAAAAAAGAGGATAAGGTTGGGTTGTCTTCAGTAAACCTTGCTGTAATTGTTGTGTGTTGTTGTGTTGCTGTCTATGTAAATCCTACTTGTTGACATGTGTGTCCCTGTGTGCCAGGCATGGTGCTGCTGTTTGTGGTCTGGATGAAGCGCAGGGAGAAGGAGCGACAGGCCAAGCCTCTGCTCATTGATCCTGAGGATGACGTTCGAGACAACATCCTGAAATATGATGAAGAGGGGGGAGGGGAGGAAGACCAGGTACGCTTGGCCCCCAAGCCTTTTACAAAGGACAGAATCTTAGATTTAACCAAGAAATAAACTTAAGACATAATATAAATACACTCAGGACATTTGATAAAATACCTCTTGCGAATTTACCACTTTCATTAGGTTCATTGATATGTATATATATGAATTACCTAAATGATAATGAATGTTGACTCTAGAGAATTATCAGTGGTGGACCGTGTATTTCACACCTAGGCCTTCAGTAGTGCTCCGTCTTAAACAATCCACTCTTCAATAACTATTTTATGGTTATGTTATTATACAGAAATACAGTATAAAGAGCAATAGCATCGCAGATAGATAACTTCTGTAGCCACAATCAGCAGTATAGTGAGCATGGTAAGCGGGGTTTCGCCATCCACCCACTTCTGCAGACATGAGATAAAAGAAAAATAACAAATATAAAATAAAATAACTACAACTTAAATGTCAAATCGGAGCTATTGGCAATGGTGAAAACAACCTGCACAGGCTCATGATATCTGCAGTACTGTCCTATAGTGACCTGCGACATGAGGGGATCGGGACTGAGCCGGGACTGGACCAGGTCTGGAGTAATAATAATTTCAGTTCGCGTAGCCCGCTACAGAGGCAGTTTGCTGCTTTGGCTGGTACACTCTGACTATCCAATCAATGCCTGTGAATACAGTGACGTTGCCGTACGGCTGCTAGAAGGCCCTGGTGACACCAACTCAAAATCTGATTGGTTGAAGCAACAGTTTCATTGACATTTATTTTGAATGGATTGTGAAGGCTTCTGGCAGACTTCTTTGATTTTGATTCTGCCTGGCAATAAATGATGGCTGAAATGTGATTGGTCAAATGCTTTAGTAAGGAAATACATGTCTGGAAGCAGCACAACCAAATCCTATGAAAGGCAGCAGACCGACCATTTGGAATTATTTAATAATAATAATAATTAACATCAGTCTGTGATTCAGATATTTTTTTATGCCAGCAGAGAAGGCCTTGCAGGCTCTGACGGCCCACTACTGAGAATTATATTGTCAGAGTTTTTCTTACTTTGTATAGCTTTCCTTTTCTTGATAATGCTATACCATAGTGAACGATGTTTCCTTGAATCCATCATTTTGAACAGGGTGCCAGAACTCACTACAAAACCCCGTCTTCGATTTATTGTTCATAACGGAGTAAGGTTTGACCAAAAGTTGTATTTAGTTAGAGAAAGTTGAGGTGAAATATGTTGTGTAGTGAAAATGAGAGGCATTCTGTGACACTGATCATTAAAGCCCAGTGTGGATCCTTGTAGGACTATGACCTGAGCCAGCTGCAGCAGCCTGAGTCACTGGAGCACATCATGAATAAACCTGCGGGGTGCGGCGCGTGGACGAGAGGCCGGTGATCACAGCCGAGTCCCAGTACCCTGTGCGCCCCAGCCTGCCCCACCCTGGAGACATTGGGGACTTTATTAACGATGTAAGTTCACTTTAACACTGACACTACTGATGTTAGTCCTTATCTGCCAGGGAAACAGCTCTCCCATTTTGAAGCAGCATTACCCAGTTTTATTCATGAAGTTACCACTGGCGTCGCCATTATCATTGTAGTTGTAAGATTTGCATTGGTCTACTCATCTGAATAAGTGTTGTTGAGTGGTTGGTGTATATGAACATGAACATGAACGTGTACATGACTTTAAATTTTACAACCTACTGAATATAACATTTTAGTGGCGGGTCATTTCTCTTATTCTTCATTGAAAAAAGTGTGTGGTGATTTAATCAGTGGAACCTGGATAACTGAGGAATTACACAGACTAAGTAGTGCTATGCTTCAAATGTACAATGTATCAATTTATTACAAATAATAAACAGCAAAGCATTTGTTCATAGTACACATTTAAAGGTTAATTTCATAGATTTTTTTGAAATGAACTTGGAGTTGCACAGCATTTACTTCCCTCTGAATCTTTTCCATCCACTTATTCTTATTAAGTGTTATATGTCTTCACTTGTATTTTCAGCAGTTCAAGGTCATCAAAGAATCTGAACATCTTTAGCAGAAAGTTTGTGTGGTCATCAATAAACTCCTCTGAGATGAACAAAACAAAACATCAGTCTCCATATTACTTAATGTAATAATAATAATAATAAATGTACTGCACGTTAAATTAATACTTGGTTTGGTTGAACTAACCAAAGCAAATTTATACACTTCTTTGAATTACAGCTCACCTCTATCTGCTCACATTCATCCCCCTGTCCCTGCTTGTCAGGAAGCTCCTTAATGTCTGCTGTTACATTTTCATTGTGAAGGGGGCTTGTGTCTTCCGTGTCCTCCACAAGAACTTGCTCTAAAATCATAGCCTCTGCAACTTGTCCCTCTGTGTGGTCTTCTGTGTCAATGGACGGCGCTCCGCTGGACTGGCTGTCCACAGTCATGCATGAGCGTTGCTGCTCAGTTTCTTCCAAAGATCCCTGCATTTCCTACAGCATCAGATGGACAAATAAAAACACTAGGCTATGGCAAATAAAACTCTGTTTTTATGAACAAACAGCAACCCATTGAAATTCAATTCTAGCTCTTACCATGCTGAACATTCTTGTTAGGGTTGAATCTTGAATGTTATTTATCATCATTAGTTGCTTAACTCTGAAAATATTCACATATAGTTACCACACATAAAGTCATGTTGCAATGGATTGGGGTCACATGACATTACATGTTCTGATATTTCCATTTTTCTGTAATTGTTATCTGACGGATACTAGAGATGCGCGGATGGCGGTTACAGCTGCGGACTCTGCGGATAAACCGCGGGTCGGGCGGATGACGTGACGAAAAATAATATTTTTATTAAATTCGGGCGGGTAGCGGTTTCACTACTCAAATAAAAAACTCTGAACTCGGAGCAAATGGGAGGAGACCGAGCGGATGGCGGGTCCAGTTTTGAAAACTGGTTAAAAACTGTGGTTGCAAATGGATAGCAGGCGGATGATGAGTTTTGCGATGCGGTTGCGGATGAAAAAGTAGCCCATCCGCACATCTCTAACGGGTACTAACTGATGGGGGAAAAAATATAGTATAGTTATAGTAGCATACATTCTCTATACATTTTCTTGAAGAAATATCAAATAATAATAGAACTTTAACTTCTCTCACCTCTCCATCACATTCAAGAGCAGAGCCTCGTTTCTTTTAACTTGGTCCTCCAGCTCGTTAAAGGTCAAGAGGCACCTCATGGCCAAGAATATCCAGCTTCTTCTGTCTTGATGATACTTGGAGATAAACAAAAATGACAATGACATGTCTCATTTTCAACCACATACCAATCATGGCCAGAGAGACAAGAGACTGGGACTGGGATCATAAAATCACAAATTGAGCAGTACTGTGTTTTAAGTAGCAATCATATGTTATTTTATAAATCCATTCATCACACTGGTTTCAGAATATGTTTGTGTTAAGCTACTCAGTTAGTTAGTATTAGCACTGGTTTAACAGTAACTGAGAATTCTATGCAGTGTGATGATCAGCTGTCCTAATCTCCTGTCTAATGTCCATTGTGTACGGGACATATTACGGGAGGTGGGATCCAGAATACACACTTCTCTATACTTTACAAAGCTATGTGTCTGGTCACTGTTGAATCTCCCAGAGTCCAGATGGCTGTTAGTGAGAGTTAGATTTGCCCATTTTTGATTTGTAAGGTTTTCTTGACCACATGCAAATGATTTCTTCAGTGATTCATTTAAAGCATAACTACATTATAAATATGCTTTTACTGTAATTATACCTATCTATATATAGCTAGTGGTAGACAGGGTTAGCTAGAGTCCAGTACTCACTAAACTAAGTTTATACCATGGTCAGTAAGGATTATAACGCTAACTGCCATGCATTAATACTGCATAACACACAAGTAGTCCGGCAATGGTTAAATCGCATTCTATATCACTCCTCTGCTGCCATCACCATGACAACACCGTAAACAGATGCTCAGCTGCTCTGAATGAAAGGACTAGCTTCATTTAAAGCCCTGAAATAACAGTTGAGACATTTACAGGCAGACTCCAGAGCAGGAGTGTTTGTACCTGTGTGGGCTGCATTCCCTCTTGTCCTTCCTTATCAGAAAGGGACCAACTGTCTTCAGTGTCTCCGTCTGTGTGGTCCTCTGTGTCATTGGACACTGTCTCAACCTCACTGTCCTCAGATGCACATAGCAGCCACTCTGGAGACAGTGTGTGTTCACATGGTGTGTCATCGGCCTGCATTTCCTACAACATCAAATGCACAAATGCACATGTAAAACAGTTACTTTAAGGTACTCTAGTAAAACCTGAAGTAAACAACAAGCTATGCGTGAATAATAGTGATGTGCCAAAGGATGTGTAAGAGAATAAGCTCAGTTTAGACTTGCTTGTCTAAGTTTAAATACTTACTTTCACCTTTCACATTTTGAAAATCAGGTGGACCAACTCCAGCTTTAACTAATGTTACATGCATGTTGCTGGGTTTATCTAAATTGTCAGTAGCCAGTAGGAAAAAATTTTTATGTTTACAAAAATGTTTGATATTTTCCAGACGCACTTTCTGTTTGGTAGAAACCAAAAATTGTTCTTACCATGTTTGCCATCACAACTTCTTGCTGCTGGTTGTCCTCCATAGAAACAACTAGGGTTGTCCTCAGTAGAGTTTTGTCCCAACTGAACTTCAAAATAAGGTTTGATTTTAAATGTGTTTGGGTTTAAATTAACAACCACAATCAACAATGATCTGTGTGCAGAAAGTTTTATTTTGATTTAAAGTTAGAAGCTAGAGGAACCATGATACTGTTGCTGTGGCAATTGCAGTGACCTTCTTGTGATTGTAATAAGAGCAAATTTATAATAATAATAAGTAAAAAACAAAAATATATATATATAATATATATATATATATATATATATATATATATATATATATATATATATATATATATATATATATATATATAATATATTATTATTTTATAATATTCTGTTAGTATTCATAATACTGCATTGGTCCATAGACCTTTTTTATGCAGATATGCAGATGAATAGCATGTCAAGACAATTGATAATCATTTAAACAACACATTTCAGGAGCCTGTGTGTTTATGGTCCTGTTAAGTTGTTTGATTTTCAACAAATGGTGAGAGTGACCAACTGAAAAATTGTTGGATAATGCTAGCTTGTGACTGTAAAGTTGTTTGGAAGGGACTTGTTTAACAGCATAAATCTTCTCACCTGTTGCAGTTCTTTCTGGTCAGATTAACATCACTCCCCCAGGGAATGTTGATGAAATCAGCTGCAAAGTATCAATACATGGTTCATGCATGCTCAAAAACATCAATATATATATATTCTATTTATTTCAAATTCTAGTTTGAACTACTTGGGGCTGCAGTGGACATTTACTTAGGTCTACTTAAAAAAGAGAATTAAATTAGTTAAGTACCTTAGTGGAAAGATTAGTTTTTCTACTGTCTACTTTTCACTCTTTACAGACATTCTAGTGGTCTTTTGTACTGAAGACCACAATCTGAAAAGCCCTGTGTTATGACCCCTAATACATTGACCACTCACAGAACACCATCAGTAACCTATCTCTCAAAGAGAACAGTTCCTGTAGTGACATACTATTCAGTTTGACCTCACTTTGTGTTTTGTCTGTGCAGGGTTTGCGGGCGGCGGACAATGACCCCACGGCTCCGCCCTACGACTCTCTGCTTGTGTTCGACTACGAGGGCAGCGGCTCTACGGCAGGCTCGGTCAGCTCTCTCAACTCCAGCAGCTCAGGTGACCAGGACTACGACTACCTCAATGACTGGGGCCCCCGCTTCAAGAAGCTGGCAGATCTGTACGGAGGAGGGCAGGAGGACTGAGAGCAGTGCTGGGACAGGCTGAGGAGGGGCAGCCAAGGACTACACTTCACTTCTGGGACCACGATGACCCAGGAAGGACCCTTGACATGGGCTGTTACCAGGCTTGCCTTTTCCAGCCTGTGTGTGTAGGAATTCTGCTGCAATTGTATTCTGGCTTTATACATTTCTTAGTGGCAAATTTGTAGTGTTTTTTTTTTCTTTTTTGTCTCTCCGCACTGGACCCTCCAGGGATAAATCAATGCGGTCACAAGAGATACCGGTAGTGAAATATATGCTTTCACTGCAAATAGAGAAGTCTACAGTGGTTGATGTTGCTTAAATTAGAGTATGAACTTTTATGTAACTGATTTGACCTTTTTTTTTTTCTTGGGTTTGACTCTAGCGTATGTGGTCGCTTTTATGTTCCATGCAAAAAAAAACTTGAGATGGCAATCCTCATTTACATGCTAGACCTATATTTTACTTTATTTCGACATATCCTCCACTGGGGATGAGATTAAATTGTTTAAAAATAGTTTACTAAATATGCTACGAATGAATGTCAACACAAGGAGTCAAGATGCTTCAAACCCCTCTTCAGACGGCTACCTTTGTAACTTTTGTTACTATGAACCACTCTTACGTGAATGAGGGACAACATAACTACACAAGGGGTGCATGGATGAATGAGGGACTTCATCGACAAATTCAGAATTTAAGCAATTTCAACTACTTTAGACATTCCTGCAGTGTTGTTATTGATTGTGCAGACCACTTTCTGCTTTAGTCTCAAACAGAAGAGAATGTTTTCAAATGGACTCCTCGATCTCTTTCACTATGTCGACTTGAATTTCCTTACAAACAGAAGCACTGTCGTTTTATAAAGTGCCTTTTGTGGTGTGTTTTTTGTATCCTGCTCTTCTCAGGATCGGTTACCATGTCTTAGCCCCTTCGCGCTCTTGGCTCTTCTCGGACTTGTGCGAACCCCAGGTGCTTCATCACGAGTGGGTACAGACAAAACCTGGGATCAAATTTACATGTGGCCCATAAGAAGCCAGCCCATGTTGACAGGGGCATCAACCCTCTTCTATGGACCTGTTCCATCGTGACTTTAAACATGCAACGCTTGGCTACATTTTTATAACATTCAAGTCTTTTCTTTTTTTCTAATTTTGTGGAGAACGGCGATTCCTATATGGACTTTTTAAAGCCATCATGAAGAGACTTGCCTGAACATTTATCTCCATGTAATTATGTAGGCATGATCTGACTATAGCCAGACAGAAGAAGAGATTAGGAGGAATATGAAATCTTGGACGCCTTTAATTGAACATTCCCATTTTTTATAATCCGCCACAAAACTATTAAAAAGGTGCATGATTTTGTTTTTCCTCAAACTGTTTTAACACTTGTTACTATGTGGTGAGAATGTGAAACTAGTCAGCGGGAACCATATGAATATACTCTGTACAAAGACACTGGGTAAATAAAAATACTGTAAGATACCTATTTTTTGAAGTATTGATGACATAAACGTTGCTGCTCTTTTTTTCTGCCACTCCATTCCATTACCAGAGGGTTACTTTAATTCATTGTATTTTATCGTTTTTATTTGTTATTTTGAACAGTTTTTTTTTTTCTTCACACATTCTTACATTTATCCCTGACATGTCCTGCCATAGTGAGTTTGTACTGCTTGCTAGCAGTACAGTGATTACTTCGTTATTAGTGTAAAGAAACCATTTGATTAATTCATCTAGAAACTGGATGTGTGGTTTAGAAAATAAACAAGACCAGACTGAACTCATGCATTTTTTTTTATTCTAGAAAAGAGCCACAGGGGGATTGTTAAGAAGACCTACTGCACTTGTGTTTGCTATATAGTTATATTCTATGACATCTGTGGATCATTATGTTATAATTTGCACCTTTTAAATCCCAATATTCATCTAAAAGGACTGCTGTACCCAGTGGGAGCTGACGTTGCTGTACAACAAAGAGCCGTTTAGATGTCAGCATCTCCTACAAACTACTGCAAATCACACTAACAAGTAGCAGATATTTTATTCATTTATAGTAAAAGGACAATGCTGCTTAATCCTACGTGTATCATCAATTAAGAACATAAAATTGAAGAACTAAGTAAGTAAGCAGTGGGTGTACACTGAAAATGGGGATAGACTGACTATATGGTGTTTTGAAAATAAGCAATTAATGATAACTCAAACATGCACAAATCACTCCAGATACAACTTTGAGAGGGTAAATGAGAAGTGGAAACAGCTATAACATGGTTAAAAGCTCTGAAATGTCAATATTGCCTATTTGCATAATAGGTCTGCTTTAAGATTTTCCTCTACCTCTTCAATATATGTTGTTCAGATTTTCAAAACATCCAGTTGTACCTAATTGGTAGTGCAAGTATTTTCTGTTACAACTTATTTAGAAGTTTAACAACAAAACTGCAGTGTTGGCATACCCCAAAAGGATTCCTGAAAAAGTTAACTGCTCTTGGTATGACTATGATGTATTTCCATCTACTACAAATATATATATATATATATATATATATATATATATATATATATATATATATATATATATATATATATATATATAAGATGGGAAAATTTCAATAGAGAGGGAGGTTGTTTTGGCAAACTCAGCTGCGCTGTTTGTCAGAACTTAAGATGGAGACTTCACATGAACACAGTGTGACGCTACCTGAAAACTGAGAGATTACATAGACATTACAGTAAGAAATTGAAAATATGGATTCCTAAGAATGTATATATATATATATATATATATATATATATATATATATATATATATATATATATATATATATATATATATATATGCAAAGCAAGTTCTATTGCTTACAAACAACACATTGCTGCCTGCCTGATGTCCTTAAACTTTGTGTTTATCCTACAATTTGAACAACAGTACAGACTTGTTGTGGTCTGATGTAACAATCACATTCAAACTAACCACAAATCAATGAACGTTCTTCCAAAAGAAAAAAAAACTGCCAGTAGCAGTTTTTGCTACTGGCTTTCTTGCACAGTAACACTTATTTTTATTCAAATAATTTTTGTTAAACCAACTGCATGTGCTGCTTACAGTTTCTTTTCAAACTTTGACACATTTCTCTTTTGAAAATTGACATTTGCAAAAAAGAAAAAAAAATTACCATCAAAACTCTCAGACTTTGGTCATGTTTTGGTCACAACTTTGCAGCTCTGAAGCCTTAGGCCTGCTCTCTGTGACCACAGAGACTCACTGCTTTGGTGCAGTCCTCAAAGGAGTTCACTCTTGATATATGAATTTGTGTCTAGAAAAGTTGTCTAGAAACCTGTCTATTTTATTATTGCAAAATAAATCAGTATCTGGTAATAAAATAAAATTTAAAAAAATATGCTGAAGAAAATTGATGATGGAATAGCTAATCCATCCACACTACTTTTGTAATGCATGTGTTCATTACATAAAGACAAAAGACACTTACATCTCACTAGATATACTGTATGTAGTAGGTCTCTACACTAGAATATTCATATAGTTTGTGCTGAGGCCTTTTTCCCTGTTTGGTGTGAAATCCTTTTCTGTTAGATTTTAGGAGCTCATAAATTGGAGTTTTTTGCTGTTACATTTGAGTTTCTATATTAGAAGGGACAGTTTGGACCTACATCCTTTAGACCGAAGAACAGGTCTTTAGAATTAACAAATAAGGTGAATTCAGTGATCATGTCTTTGAATGAGAGCCGAGTACTGTGTGAACTCATGAGAAATGTTCCAAACGTTGTGACCACCTGTGCCCCTGTTCACATAAATGTTTGAATCAAGGGATCAAAAAAAAAAAAAAGTGGAAGAAAATGTGATAAAACAAGCCCGCGGTTTCGCTGATTGGTTTACTCATGACAGTTCCTTAAAAAAAGTTGTACCAGACTTCTCGGTATGCAATTAACCTGAACTGACTCAATTCCTGCAATCAACACATTAAAAGTGTTGTCAAGGCCTCCTTCCTGTGCATGTTTCTCAAATGCTTATGTAGTGCTCGCTGTTCTTAATCTGAATAATTGCCTTTCCTCCTCTTCAACAGCCTAATCAGACTTCTGTGGGTACAAGTCTCTTCTGGGATTGAAGCAGTTAATCTTTGACCTTATTGTTTGCATATCACTTCATTTTCTTCTTGAAATGGAGTATGAGCTGGGTCTCGTAGCAATGCACAGTCTCTTCCTGTGATTTCAATTAGTCAGCTGAAGAGCCAGAAGAAGAGCCACTGGGGACTGAATAGGGACTTAATCCACTTCGCCTGTGTGTCTATCAATTAGCCACACCATTAATCCCTGTGGCGTAATCTGGCCTTTAATGAGACGCCCCGAGAGCAGGCCGTGGCTAGAAAAATGTGGCAATGGCAAGATGCAGGTTGGACATAGCCACAGTAAGGATAGGGCAAAACATAAAAAAAAACACTCTCCAAGGGTTATCTATAAAGGAGCCATCTGAATTTAGCACCAGCGAGATTTCATCCGGAGCCTTTTATATAGTTAATAAAAGCTGATGTGATTTTTACCGTTAATCAACGCAGGAATGTCCCTCCGTAACGAGAATACCTAGCATTAAACCTTAGTTAACCTTTAGTCCAGTAATGAGCTCCGGTGTGGACTTGGCACCACCGTAGAGCCGTGTTAATAAAGGAAGTCATCAGCAGGACCGGGCTCCACAGCTGAAATAATCATGCGCGTGGTGAAAAGCCAGCGTGGTCAGAGGCAGGCTGCACGTAAGCACATTAGCTTCATGGAGGAACACTTTGGCTCTAATTGGAATGGGCCCAGTTAGCGGTGCGGTGCGGTGAGCAGAATATGGTGTTAACAGCAGAGTCGCTATTTTTTATTGTTGATTTTTATTCATTAATTTTATTGTGCTTGTTGTCTCAGGGGGTGGAGGGTACTGGAGTCATCAGAATAACCGTGTGCCCCACTGGATCCACCACAGCAGGGAGTTCAAAGTGCACTGAATACTTTTCAGGGGGAAGGTCCCTCACCTGCTTGTTTCTGTGGAGAT